CACCTTTACTCACTTATTAATATCACATGGACACCTTTACTTACTTATTAGACTATCTAGTAAAATAAGATTTTGTTCTTATTTTGATAACATAAAGTCACTCAAAAAATATTGAAAACCATGAATTCACACCAGTACCACCAATTAAAATACAATACTCTGGCTTCATTTTAACTTTCCCCTTTGCATATTTGTAACCCATTTCTCTTAAAGCAACAAACATAACTGTGGCTATCCTCAATATATGTATTTATTTGTTCAGTATCCTCATATGTGACTCATATGCTGCTCTGCTCAGCTACCTTCCTTCTTTGAACTTTGAACTTTGAACTTTTGCCCATGCTGGGCAACTTAATTAACATAATTAATTTCTGGCCAATTATGTTAAAAAACAATGTTTTTAAGTTCGTGATTCAGGAAGGGAAGACGGAAGAGTGGGAGGGAAGAAGATGGAAGCTTTTATACAGAAATATAAGTCGAGATTATTGATCCAATTTCTATCATTGTTGATACTTCGATAGATGTGCAAGTTTGTTTTTGCATCTTAAACCAATCAGTCTTCTGAAGAGCATAAATTTTCATAGGCCCAAGACAATCTTAATAGTCTTACAGCATTATTTTCAAAGTGATATGTGGTTTTGAAGCCAGTTTGAATTTGACATAACTGTTGAAATGGAAAGCATCACATGATTTAATAATGATGGCATTTTTTTCCAGTAAGTGACTTGCTTTTATGGTTCAGAGTTGTCTGTGTGTACCTTGTGGGGATTTGGATAGACTAAGTAAGAGACAGTATTCACCTTCTTATTTAGAATTCTGTCTCCTAAATGAGTTGAATGATCTGGAGAGAATATGCACTTGGCTTAATGTGATAAATGGGTCAAAACTTAAAGTAATTGTTGTCTCCCTAAGGACTACCAGGATATTCAAGTTCAAAATTCACTGTGTGATAAAATAATCTTCCCACTGACAATGATGGCTTTACATTGAGTCAATCAATTTCTTTTATATGCCCACACTGTGATGGCTTAAATTTGAGCAGTAATCACCAGGATTTTGAGATAGAGTTTTTTTTTTAAGGATTTATTTATTTATGTCTACAAGAACTGGGGTACAGGCCACAGGTGTGGAAGGTGAGAGGATTCACCAGAGACAGAGTGGGAACAGAATAGGCAGAATGACTGAAGTACACTGCTGAGGGGAGCAGAGGGGGACCCTCTTCTCCTTGTAGAAAGGCTCAGACTTTGGTCTTATTAACCCCATAAAATAACTAAGTGGTCCAGTAGACAAAAGGGTGAGCTTGTTTTACAGCTTAAACTATGAAAATATGGAATTATCATTCAGGTCGGACACCTCTAATTACAAGGTATGTGCTGAGAGGTGTCTTTGAAGACCAAAATAAATGAAATTGATAAAATTTGAAGATTGTTCCAATGAAGACAGTAGGACTTAAGACCCCCAGAAGCTGGGAAAAACAGATGCAAGCTGAGCTGGGCTGAATTCCACACTTCTGACCTGACCACAGAAATGAAGTGTGAGTGCAATTTCTCTATTCTTGGCCTCTTGTGAACTACTTTTTTGTTTTTTGAATTACCTTGGGTAAGGATGCTCTCTCTCATGCCTATTTTAAATACTTAAAAACATTTTAAATTCTAACATTTCCTTCTTTCATTCAGGAAGTTGCTCTAGTTAATCATACCTCTATTCTGTATTGTTCTTTAAATTCAGTTGTGGATGGATACTTTGTAAGATGCAGTAAAAATAAATTATTAGAAAACTAAAATTAACGAGACAAGTCTTGAGTTTTTATCATGAGATTTGACAAACATATAATTACTCTCTCAAACTACTGCTAAATTTCTGAGTACCTCCTCTTTACCTTTAGCTTACCTTGTCAGCAGGTAGCAACTAGCAGTCTGGTGTTGGCATGCAAACCCTATTTTGAGTGGTATTGCTTTATACAGGATTAGTAGATCTGTTCAAACTTTAAAGTGTGACAGTGTCACCTGGACTCTTGTGTAAATGTGACTCTTACTCAGTAGGTCTGGGGAGGCACTGAAATTGTGCATCCCCCACAAACACCCAAGTGACGTGGGAGCTGCAACCATGCCTTTGGGTAACAAGCCTTAAAGTCTTTGTACATCGTGAGCTACCTTGATGCTCACAGTGATCTCAACTAAGGATTCTTACTGAATTTTTCTCATGCTGAAGCCAGATAGTAATTAAATCTCATATTTACTGAGATATATTTTCCGGAGTAAAATGAACACTTTTGGGTATACAGTGTTGTGCATTTTAACACTCATTCAGTTATGTAAGCACCATTGTAATCAAAACGTCGAACAGTTCCATCACCCCCAAAATGTGCTTATGTAATTAACTCCTGCACCACTCACTCCTCCAGTCTCTGGCAACCTCAAAGCTGTTTTCTGTCCCTATAGTTTTGCCCTTTTCCAGAATGTCATATACTGTATTATTGCATGTATCACAACTTCATTCCTTTTTTGCTGAATAGTATTCCAATTATATGAATGTTGCTTATCCATTTACCCACTCAAGAACATTCTGCTTGCTTCTGGGTATTGGCAGTTAGGAATGAAACTGCTATAGACATTGCTATATGTGTTTTTGTGTGAACATGTTTTCCCAGTCAAAATTTTGACAGGCAATTTTTCTAATTACTACCTCCCAATAAGGGAAAATAAAAGTATTTAAGTTGGGATAACTATTTCAAGCAACCTCTCTTCATGTAGAGTATCCACAGTGGGGGTTAAAGGAGATTTACAGGGATTGAGAGAAAATTTGGTAAAGTTTGAAGGTCTTTCCAAAGGCAAGTGGATAATTCTTATAAGACTGGAAATTGGAAGGAATGTAAACAAATAAATTGGTTTCATGATGATTATAGTAAACAGGCAGTTCTTCATATGTACTAAGGCTAACTGGTTAAATCGCTCTGTGACCCTGAAGAGAAGAAAAGGAAAAAAAAAATTTATTTAGTTTTCTCCCTGAGGCTTGTAATAACACAAGTTTGAGCTGAGTTTCAAGACTTGGTGGAAACTGGAAACAGAGAAATTCCAGATGTGAAACACTTTGGAAAAACTAATCCTGGCTCTGAACTCCTATTATAAAGTCTTTTCTAATTGGTTTGGATGGATGGAGCCCCTACTCAGTCCCATGGTTGTTAACATATCTATATCTATATATATCTAATCTATATCTGTATCTATATATCTATATCTAATCTATCTCTCTATCTATCTATCTATCTATCTATCTATCTATCTATCTATCTATCTGTTTCTTTTGATCTTTGGCCCTTGTCTTATGAATGACTTAGTTCTCTTTGTCTCCAGAAGGCTGGAGATATTAAAATTTCCAACTACTTGTCATTCGAGGGTATAAACAATTGGGATTACAACCCAGTGACAACTATCATCTTTCAAGGTAAGTAGGGAAAGACTAGGATATAGACAGGAGGGAGGGGCCACTGGCCTGATCCTTTTCCTTGCCCAGCCTTGCTCTACTCCTGTTTTTCTTGCAGACAAAACCAGAAAATTATGTAAAGATAATGTAAAGACAGAGGTAGAAGTGAGGCAAGGATTAAGTCACAGCCTCAGTAGTCTGGTAAAAATCACACCCACCAGCACCTTGACAGATTTGGTCAAGACCAAATTTGGAAGAAAAAGTGCAGTGGTGCAGTTCCTGGAAAACCTTGCCTATTTCTTGAAATCCTGCTGATGCAGAGCTGATGCAGACCGTTTAGCCTCTCCCCTTCCTTAACACTCCCCCAATGAATCCCTGCTTCTACCAGCTCTTATCTCTCAAGTTTTACTTTATGATGGGCAAGTAGTCACCTCCCCTCTCCCCCCAAAGCAAAAACAAAAACTCCTGTAACAAATTTATAAAATCTATATATACATAGGTTTTAAGTATATGAAATGACACGATGGGAGATAAATTCACCATCCAAGTTCCTGGATTTTGTTGGAACAGCTGGTCTTTGTTTAGTGATTCAGAAGTGTGGGGAGAGCCTTACTGACAAGTACAGAGGCCTATCTTCTGCAGATAATAGGCAAATAAAGGTCGTTTCTATTAAGCAGCTGTGGATGAACAGAAAATGATTGCAATGAATGATGTCTCATTCTATTGGCACTTTCGAAGAGTAAGACCTTTCACATACAGCACACACCCTTGCTTTGAGGCTGTTACTCATCCTTTCTTTGCTGATGAGAGGCTACCCAGAGGCTACCCCACATTTCCAAGTTACACAACAGAAGGATTAGTCCAATGTCCCTTCTAGTCTCCCATGTTATGCAATTAAGAAGCTATGTCTCACCCAGATGATAAACTCCAAGCCTCCTAACTGCATCCTCTTGAGGGGAAGGCTCTGAGGTTTATCTGATGAGAGTTTTTAGCAGATCAGGCCTATGACTTGCCATGGGCACATCCTACTAAATTGCAGCAAAAAGTATCTCCTCTTTTTTACCACTGCCCTCCTGGATGGGCATTAAACTTTTATGCAAACAACTCTTGAGTCTTTTCTTTTCCCTCACCTTTATTGGGATTTAACTGACATATAACAGTTATAATTTTAGTGTTCCTCTTTGTTTTTTTTTTTTTTTTTTAAATTGCTTTCAGATTTAACACCTTTGCTTGTTAAGGCAGAACTCCCGCTGACAACACGCCTGGGCGCCCAGCAGACCACCTTCTCCAGGCCCATCGCCCCTCCTGAGGCCCAGTCCCCAGCCCTTCCCCTTCCTGCCTGCGGTCCTAGGCAGCGCCAGGCCCGGCCCTCGGCGCCTCCGGAGAGGCCGGCTCGGCCCGGCTCCTCCCTGAGCTGCGCGGGGAGCGGCCACTCCCTGCGCGCCCCGCCAGGCTCGGGTGGGGTCCCCGCTCCAGCGCGAAGCCTCGCCCCGGACAGCACCCCACACACCACAAGGCCGCGGGCCCCACCCAGTCAGTCCGCGTCCCGTCTAGGCCCGCGGAGCTCGGCCTCCGGGACGTGCCTCGGCTGCGGCTGCTGCGCCCCGCGCCTCCGGGACCATGTTGCGCTGGCTGCGGGGCTTCGTGCTGCCCGCGGCGGCCTGCCTGGAGGAGGACCCGCAGAGGCGCTACGAGAACCTCTTCCAGAAGCTGGACCGTAATGCAGATGGCGTGGTGGACATCAGGGAGCTGCAGGAGGGGCTCAAGAGCATGGGCATCCCCCTGGGCCAGGACGCAGAGGAGGTGGGTGCCTGCTGGGCGCGGCCGGTGAGCCAGGAGGGACTCGGGGGCGCTGCCAGCATCCAGGGCGCTGCCCTGGCTGTCAGGAAGAAGGCGGGACTGATGGGTTCGGAACCTCTGGGATGGGTCGCACAACCGATTACCCCATAACTTACTGCGTCAGGATCTGAAAGGCTAAGGGTGTTTTTCCAGGTAAAGTTAGTGCTGTGAAGACTCAGACCCGCTGTAGCAATTAAACTACTGCAATGCCTTAGAGGGAAGGCATCCTTTATCTTCCCCTTTGGCCTTTGCAGACATTTAATCGAGTTTTTTAGTGCTCAGTCTTTGCAAGCACTGAAGTTTTTAGCTGACTTCAGCGGGCCCCAAGTTTTATAAAGACACTCTTCGAAGCTGCTCTGTTAGAGCAGCTAGTTTTGATTGCTGTTTGAAAGGCAATCAGATGTTTCCTCCAGCTTCCTGCTGGAGGGAGGCCATGTTCCACTGTTGAAGACATTCTTCATGCCCTAAGTGCATAGATTGAGCTGAAGGGCTGGCACTTCTGAGTCATTTTAATTGTATCTCTAAAGTTCAGTCCGCTTAGTGGGTAGAGATATTTGGAACCTCTCCAACTCCAGTGAAATGTAAGAGGCCACTTTAGCATTCCCTATCCGTACAGGGGAAGGGATTAGGTAATTATAAGTGCCAACAACTGTCTTGTAGTATATTTTAAGCAACTTGTTCAATGTACTTAGTAGTTACAGGCCACTTCAGTTTACTGTTTTCTTGAGTCAGATTTAGTACATTTCATTTTTTAAAACTTTTGGTTCTGGGGTTACAATTTTGCTCTACCGTAGTGCTGGTTCTACTTAACCTCCACCAAACCACCAGTGCCAAGTCCCTCGATGCCTCCTCCTTCAGACCCTCCACCTTACCGGGTTTCCTCTGGTAACCATTAAGTTCTTTCATTAAGTCCAAGATTTAGTCCTGCTGTAGTTTGCCTGTGTATGGTTATTTATATTCCACAGGTGCATGAAACCAACTGATATCTCTCATTTTCAAGGTTCAGAATATTCATTTACGATTATATGCAAGTTTTGGCTATCCTTATGGTTATGTTCTTTATTTCATTCCTGATATGTACCTCCCCACCCCCCCAGACTTCCCCAGAGTTTGTCTGTTTTATTCATACTTTGAAATACTGTTCATACTTTGAAAGGACTTTTGGTACTTTTTGCTAATTGTCTGTTTTTAATTTTCTTCCATTATTTTGTGTCTTTATTTCCTTTTTTTTTTTTAAGTCTTACTCACGTACTCTCTAATTTCTTGACTTGAAAGCTTGTTTCATTAAATTGGAGCTACAATATCCCTTTAATCAATTCTTTAACTGCATTCCACAAGTTTGGATTTTTTATTTAGTTCCAAATAGCCTCTCATTTCCAATAGGATCTTATCCTTGATCCACAAATTAATTATACGGGTAGTTTAAATTTGCCGATACTGCATGTTTTTAGATAGATTCTTTGAAACTAAGAATAAACCTCTACAAGAGATCGATTAGGAAAAAGAGGGAAGAACTAAAAATTACAAATAAAAAATGTCTTTAGTTCTCCAAAAATTTTATTAAAACTAATTGTAAAATAAATCCTATAAAATTATGTGTATGTAAACACATAGGATGGTGTTTATCACTATGTTTTATATATACATAAAAAATTTCTTATATATACATCCATATACACATAGTATCACTCCCAGAAACTGTTAACTATTCCCAGCACTTGTATCTTTTTACATGCCTAGACAAGCTCTTAAGAAAATAAGAAAAGTCAAATCAAACCGTGTTTAGGGCTTAGATCTGCTTACTAGTAAACTTCCGGCAATCTTTTTAATCTCTGTAGTCTCAATTTCCTCCCCTGTGCCAGACATAACACTAGTACCTGTCTCATAGGTCACATTTATTATGAAGAATAAATCAACTAATATATGTAAAGCATTTAGGAAAATTTCTTGATACCTAATAATTAACTCTTTTTTTTAAAGAATTTATTTTTGCTTTTTTTTAAGTTTTTTTTTAAGGTTTATTTATTTATTTATACAAGCACTGGGTACAGTCAGAAGCATAGGAGGGCGAGAGAATTCACCAGAGCCAGAGCGGGGAGCAGAACAGGCAGAAGGACCGAAGTACACCGCTGAGGGGAGCAGCAGGCGGCAGGAGAGGTCTGTGCGCCATGTGGGACCCTCACCTGGCAGCCGGGCATCAAACCGGCGCTGCAGAGGCTGCTTGCAGCTTTGCAGCCCAGCGCTCAACCGCTGTGCCATTGGGGGAGGCCCCCTAGTAATTAACTCTTAACCTTTAGATTATTAATATCATTAGCTACAATCAAAATTGAAAGAAGAGTATCACAATCTCCCTCTGATTGTGGATTTTCCAACTTTATAATTCTGTTTTCTCTTTTATATTTGAGACTACTACTGGTGTATTCGAATTTAGTATTTTTGTATCTTTCTGGTGAATTGTTCCTTTTACCTTTATCTTTTTTTGCCTACTCTCATACCACAGTTCCCCCATGTTTTTCAAACATCTGAATCATTGCACTAGCCATATGTTCCCCTGCACCAGATTTTTTTTTCCTGTCACCACTGAAAATCTTCAACATTGTTGCTCCCATCTTGTGCAGGGCATTATCTTTCTCCCATGTTCCACTCTGGGCACTAGATCTGCTGGGTGGAAAGTGAGTGAGTCCTCGTCTTGGGACACTCCTGGTACTGAGTTCGTGCTGGTCCTTCAAGAGGAGGAATTCAAGATGGGATTGGGTGTGCAAAAGATTTATTGGGAAAATATCTGTGAAGGGTAAGGAATAGAGAATAGGAGTAAGTTGAAAACTTAACTTGTATCAGACCATGATGCAAGCTGACCCCTGTGGAAACAGTACAAGAAGGAAGGGTTGGTTTAGGAAGAACCTCAGGTCATTGTTCTTAGAAAGTCTCAATGAGGCTAAGGGGGAATCACTGCTAGGGGAGTTCTGTGTCTGCTGCCCAGTGTTGGGACCCTAATTGTGGCTCATCATTGGTTGGTGCTGCCCAGGGGTGGATTGGACTGGGTGTGAATCCTGCAGGAAGTCCAAAGGTTCAAAGGCGTGGAGGGCTGGGCTGTCACTCAAGCTGTTCTCACAATAGGTTCTCTTAGTATCTGACCTAGCGGCACAGACCACTCCTTGTGGCATAGAGAACCGCTTTTTTGTGTAGGTTTAGGGTGTGCTCCTGTATTGTTCTCAGCCTCTGTTTCTCAGGGAGATCAGTCCCCACTGCCTTGGTTGGTCACAACTGGTTTTATTTCCTTTCTTGACTGTCTATTTCAAATTCCACTCACACTCAGTTATGATCTCTGCAGGTCTTTGTCACTTACCTAGTGGTGTAACCCAAACCTTTAACCGAATTCTGGAGAGGTCTGAACTTCTCAGGTCAGTGTTACCACCTGTGCCCACTCACAGTTAAAGCTGGGCAAGGGAGTATCATGCGTCACCCATGGTGTCCGCCTGACTTCCACGCACACCCCTCTGTCTGCATGGGGTAGAAGCAGCTCTGACATTGCTGATCAGGGTGAATTTATACCTACTAAGTTCGTGGCTTCTTTTTTTGCCTGTTGATCCCTGGACCAAGGCGTTCTAAATGTCCAGGGGGTAGCTGTGGCTGGTAGTGCAGTGGAACCCATCCTGCATTTCCTGACAGGAGTATATCCTGTTTGGGGACCAGAAACTAAGCCTGTTGACAGCAGAATTGTGGGGGTAGGACTCAGAAAGTTCCCCAGTGGGTGACTGAGAGTAACAATGGGACTATTCCTATTATAGGAGCTGTTGTTGGGGTCCTGGATTTGTGTCCCCTTTCTATTGGGGGCACAGAACCATACAGAGGTCTCTGATTTAGTGCATAGACAGCATCTTTAAAAAATTTAACTTTTTTACATAGTTGTTCATTTTTGTACAGTAGTAGGTGTCTCCCCTCAGGAGTGGTCCCCACCACCATATCACCCGTGAACCATCATCATAGTCCCTTATGCTCTTCCCTCCCCTGTCCTGACCCCTCTCTTCCCCATCCCCTGCTGCATGTGCAGCATCTTGAAGGGTGACAATTGATCTTTGCCAAACATTGTTTCTAGGTGGTGCTGCAACTGTATTTTCAATAGGCTACTTCAGCCAACTGCTTCTGGATGACATATTGTGTGACATGGCTGGCGGATCCTTTGGTCATGGAATCTCATATACCTCTAACTATAAAGCAGATACCCTGGTCAGATGTTATATTATGTGGGCATTTCAAGTCTATGGATATTCCAAAAGCCCCCAGAGAGTGGTGCCGAGACCTTTAGGGCAGGATAGGGTCTCCCCTACCTGGGAGAAGGATCTATCCTGTGGGGATACCAGTAGTCCTGGTATGGTAATGGTCCTGGTATGGTCCTGGTAATGATTTTGGAAGATTACTCTGGGTGGCTGTGTGGGATATAGATGGAGAAAGAGAGGGCATTGGAACTGTAGCCAATCAAATACTTGGAAATACTTGGTCAATCTTTATGGGGGAAATTTCAAAGGCATAGTTCAAGGGTTTGTGTAATGTCAGGGTTTGGGGAAATTACTGAATTGAGCATCTCGAAGTAAGAACTGTGAGGTTTAAGGGAGGGTTTCATGATAATGATTTAAGACAAAGACAAACAGAAATATTCACATTGAAGTGAAAGCTCGGTTTCATCTGATTTCATCTATTCTCGTTTCCAAGCTTTTGTAATGAACTCAGCATTCAGAAGGCAGCACATTTCTATTTAAGTTCCTTCTGCATTTCAGTAGATAATATTTGGATATAAGAATAGAATGTAGGTTATAGGTATTAGGAATATAAAATGTTTTAGAATGTATAACATTTGTAATTTTTGTGTTTTCTCTGACATATTCTAAAATCTGACGTTTTTCCTTTTTTATTGCTGAAAGAAGGAAGAAAAAGGAAAAATGCTCTAAGAATGAAACACTCTCTTC